ATTAAATAATTATTAACACATATATACATACATATATAATTATTAATACATATATTAAATAAAGTTCAAGATCAATATTACTATTAAACATTGACGTGTACTTTAATAAAACAAGATGCTAATGATATTGTAGGAGTATAAAATAATGAACTAAATGTATTTTGCAAAATTTAATTATATATATCAATATATAGATGTTAAGTTGTATAAAGTTTATATTAAATTATTAATTTTGTAAGAATTTTGAACAGAATATTTGACTAATATTCCTAGTATGATATTATCGTATTTAATTATTTGAAAAATTAAATAAGTAATAATAATTACGCAAAATGTCAAGAAAACTGTCGATTGTTAAAGAAGCGGACATTCATTTGTATAGAATTGGCTTATGTTTGACAACCAATAGGACGGGTATTAACAGAATATTTATTCACAAACCTATCGTACAAATTGTGGTTTTAATCTACGGGTTCTTTAAATATACGATTACTTTATTAGTACCAGAATTAGATCTATTTGTGTGCATAGTTTTGGGTGATTTTTCACAATTTCTGGGAATTAAACTTCACTTTAATATTGCCTGTAATTTATTTATAATTCTAGGCTTATGTTCACAATCCGTGTATTTTTACAATTATATGAATGAAATAAATCCGACATTTCTGATCGTTTTTGAGATGATGTCCGGTTTGGGTGAACGCAAAGACATTACTCTTAATAAACCACTGATGAGAAGAACTAGACTTCTGATAAGTTTAGTGAAATTTAATAACGAAAAAATTATACCAATAGTTATGATGGCATTAATGATACCATACTTTTCAAAATGCAATTCTGTATTAGTGTTTGTGTTGATAGGTATTCCTAACGCTGTACTAAACATAATGATAGCGTATTATGCATACAATTTGATGGCATATCAGGTCACATATTTTTATCTTATTTGTTATTACCTTAAGTCCAAAATGAAGTCAATCAATGATACGTTGGCTAAAAGTATTGANTATTCCTAACGCTGTACTAAACATAATGATAGCGTATTATGCATACAATTTGATGGCATATCAGGTCACTTATTTTTATCTTATTTGTTATTACCTTAAGTCCAAAATTAAGTCAATCAATGATACGTTGGCTAAAAGTATTGAATTGAAATCATTTGCAAATATATTACCGTTTATTCACAGATTTAACAGAATATGCGTTGAAATGAATGAATATAATAATTATTTTTGGTCTAAGTTTTTGTTGATATTCTGGTCAACCATTGGATGTTTTATTGCTATATTCATGTATTTTGTGTTATTTTCTCCGTTGAGTCTAATATTACGAATGGCCATAACATATGCAATGATAATCCCATTGTCTGTCTTCCTGTTCATCATATTCACGGCCTCTTCAGTCAATTCAGAGGCAAATAAATTTCAAAAATTATTAATCCCTTTAGTTATCCCTAATTACAAACCCTATGGCCAATCACCAGTCAAATCACACTTTCAAATGGCTTATAATTCGCTGTCAACTAAATTAAAAGTATGTTTACTTTAAAGTAATTTATTTGTTTAGTAACATATTTGTTGAATTTTAGGTGATTTTATTCATTGAAAGAATTGGTGATAAAAGGATAGGATTCTGGTGTTGGAAACTGTTTATTATTACTTACTTTAGGTGTTATGAAGTGAGTCAATCATGTTTTGTATTCATTTCATTCAATTAGTTTGTATGCTAATTATTTATTTAATGTGTTTTACAGATTATTGCATTCATTTCTATATTATTCTTAAAAATAACTGAAATGTCAGCTAATTGATATATAGTGTCAGTTATAGTATAATATCATTATAATCATAATATAATGAATATCTTAATACAGTAATAATTAAGTAAAAAATGATACAGTATTTGCAAAATTCTCTTATATTGATTGGATTTGTGACAAATATCTCCACCTATTGTATGCAATCAATACAGAATCCAATGTATAATTCTTGAGTACAGAATATATTGTACAGTCAATACACAATTATTAACTAAATAAAAAGGTTGTAATTGTAAAAAGTTGTAAAACATTTTAAAACTTATTAACAGGTTTATTGTATATTAAAAATATTGTTGAATAAAGTCTTGATGTGTCTAAAGGGCTATTAATAGATGAGTTTAAATTTGTATTTAATGTTTAATACAATTAATTAGAGACTAATTGAATGTGTTTTTATTGACTTAAGAAGAGTTTACATTGGTTCCCACTTTTGTCACATTATCTCTCAATCGGATTATCTCTTTTTCTGAAGCAGTTCTGGCGATTGGTGTCATCGTATCAAAGTTGCACTCAAACAAGCGGTCAGTGCTTCCAAACCTCGCGTGTCTTTCCACATGAATTCGTAGCACTTTTCCAGATATTCCCTGAAGTGTTGCCTTAAGAAGACTTCCAATTCCTTCATCCATGCCCTGTGGTTGTGGTTGTCTGTCGGAACAAATAAGGTGACCCCACCGACTCTGGTGTGTAGATTAGACACGAGTTTCATAAAATTCCTCAAGTCTTCGACACAGATATCCGATAATGGATTCCAATCCAAATGCATCCGAAAATCGTGGGCTTTTATGTGACCTTTCCTTAAGAACTGATATGATATCCCAACCATTCCCAGAGGAAAGGGTCGACTACTGCTGTAATCCGTGACAAATGTTGGGTACTTCAGCCTGAAATCAGTGTAGAATCGGTTCATATAGTCGTTGGCAGAGACGGCCAATTGAAATACCGGTGTGATTGACACCTGTGTCTGATTTATTAACTGATTCAATGCCATAAAGAGATACATTTCCGGTACATTGGTTCTGTTGTTGAGGTATAGCCGGTTGTGTTGTATCATAAGGAACCGATACATTGGGTTGAAGTGGAAGAATGAGTTCCAATGACACCATTCAGAGCACAGACACACCTTATCGTCGATCTCATGCCAGTGACGATACACTATCTGAAGGTCACAATAGGGAACAGTTTTGCCGAGAATATTGTCTTTGAAGTACTGTCGGCGCATATCTTCATTGTCTTGATTTGCCAGATGTTGTGACACTTCTTTCATTGATCTCTTGGGAGTCAACCAAAAGAACTGATCGGTGTTTGGGTCCACTTTAGGCCGAATATAAGACACTTTGTATTTGGTAGCGAAGTCTTTGTGCTCGAAATGATAAGCAGTGGTAATGTCTCCTACTTTTCTCTTGAGGAGCGCGGATCCCATACCGTGTCTCGAGAGGAATATTCTCGGGTATAGCATAAAGTGAAAATCCGAGATAAACCCTTGTCTGATTCTCGCCATCCACTTCGAACCAGATTTTGACCAAAATTCTGACCCCAGGGCTCGCTTCATGCCAGTCCTCAAAGCCGTCGATATGTATCTCTCGGTATCCGATTGTCAAGTCAGTGAACCGTTGCTGTCCTGAGTTCCCGTACATCATCCGTGTAGTGATCTCTTCATTATCATTGCGACACTGTTTAAACTCCTCGTAAGTCATTCGTCGACTACTATAGTGTCCGGTCTGTGTCCTAACGCTCGGAACCAACGGCATGGGAATCCCCGGGGGTAGGAGTGAATTGTACTGAACACTCAACTCCGTGCCCCACCACATGGACTCAGGGGTGTCCTCGAAGCCGATCACAGAGACACAGGTGTGAAGCACTTTCTGGCGTACCTCTACTATCACATCGTTGATCATGGCTTGAGTTAACTGTTGGATACCAAACAAGTGCCGCATTTCCATCATATATTTGTTGAACTTTTGGGACAAGAGTTGTCCGTTGATCTGATTCCAACCCGCGGTTAACAACATGTACACCTTCAGAGCTCTTTTGAAGGCTACGACTGGATCCCAGGGCTGAAACATCCGACTCAGATCCATGCCATACAATATAGGCAGTGCTGCCCCAGACTGGCCTGCCATTCCTCTCGATTCTGTGGTTCGCTAAAGATTAAACTCATTCTCAATTCAATATTTTGGTAGAAGTTTTGTTTGGGGAACACCTCCTCCTCGAGCACCAGTGGTTTGGGCACCAATTGCTCCACATTTGTCATACCAAAGCCTCGAAGGTATTCCTCTGCGATCTGTCGCTTCTTCTCGTCGCGAATCAGTTTTTGTACGCTTTTCAGACACACAGACACGTCATGGCAGTGATGGTAGTGATGACTGAATGCATACCTTTATTGCTGATGAGATACTTGCGGTCCAGAAACTCTTGTGGTCACTGTCAGAGTGTCACCAATGGGTCACTCATTCACTACTCATTGCAGTTGTGTTGCAATGTCTCACTACTCGTCCACTCATACGACCACTGCTTTCACTGTCAATGCATTCACCACTCATACACTCATACAGGTGTCACATATGATGAGCATTTAGACTCTATTAGTGACCGTTTGATTGCATCAATCAAAAGCAATCAATGCATTGAAAAGCTTTAAAACTTTTTGTCGAAACCAAAAATACGTCAACTTTTGGCGCAAATACCGTACAGTAGTTTCAATTGGTATTCAGTGTGTGATTCACTGATTAACACAAGAATTGAATGCAAAGTAATCTGTAATTAAAATGATCGTATGAATGGACACAAGAACTGCACAAAAATCTCTCCTAAAGCTTATGCCTTCACCTGTCAATCAGTCTCTCATTTGTGCCCAAATATATCGATGATTTCCGCAAATCATCGCAATATTAGCGTAAATACGTGTGATTTTTGCCGTTTTCATTGAGATTTTAAATTTATTATAACATTTGTCACCACATATTATCGTCACAATGATTTTATTCATAATTATGAATACAAAAATAAAAAACAAAATAATTATAATTTATAAATGAGTTATTCTGTCGTTTGAGATAAGTTTAGAAAATATAAAAATAAATTTATAATTGCATTCAAAATCTACAAAATAAGTAGAAATAAAGCGAAACACATGGAAATGAGAGTATAGAGTGCTATAATAGCCACGATTTACTGCAAAATAGATTACTAAATAGTGACGGGGGGAGGGTGTGCCCACTCCGTCATCCACTTGTCATTCATATCATTGGCATCCACGGGCTGACAGTCTGCGTCAGGGCTCAAACGCTTGCAATTCTCGGACACCGTTTTGGCCAACTTCTCCGTCAGTTGTCTTTTCAATACAATCAGAATATTCTGTTGTTTCGGATCTGAAATAAACAGTGAAAACACAAATGAAATGCAATTTTCTATTAAAAGCCAACAACTGATGAGACAAACCGCTAGACATGACATCAAATCGGAGTTCGTCCGGAGAGTCGTTCCCTAAGTTCAGGAACTCTTTGATCTTAAGACTCGACTCAATGGTAGGCCTAATGCACAGCAATGTGAAAGTGGATGCGGTGTAGAGGGAAAGGCGTCTCATTGTAGTGAATGGTATGAAGATATGGTAGTACAGCGAACCAGTGATGATGGGAAAGCCGGATATCTTGATGCCATCCGATGCCACGATCACATCCAATGGGTGTGTCTTATAGGTGCCCATCATTACGGACTCGGAGTACGCTATGAAGGGAACCGATACTTCTATTTCAGACAATTTGTTCACTCGTATCGTCTTCTTGTGGACCAAGTCTACAGATGTCTTCAACTCGTTATCCAATGATTTGTACTTCTTTTGCATCGCTTTATACTTATCTCTCCACTCATTCATAGCATTCCTCGTGAGTTGAGTGCAGTTGTGGGCAATGAGAGCATCGCTGAGACCGCATGAGTGACACAACTTATAGCCGCATGTCTTCAGATGTGTTGGCAATGACTGGACGGCCACCACTTCAGGACACCCGACGCTCTCGTAATGGCATCTGATTCTCAACTCAGATATCATTGAATTGATGATAATATTCTTCGTGACCACAACATCGCCGCCAATGAGAAAGCCGTTGTTATTATCACTGATGGCATCGCTGGTCCTCTTTCTGTTCGTCTTTCTCGCGCTCAACACTTGTCGACAGTCGGGACACTCCTTCTGGTCATCGGTGGTGAGCCACTGGTCGAGACAATCCCTGCAGAAAGTGTGACCACATTTGGTGATCACCGCTGTGTCGAAGACATTGTGGCAAATACTGCACATCAGGTGCTGAGACACCGGATCCACGAATCGGTCCGTATTGAAGGCAACCATTGGATCGAGTGTTGAGATGTAATTGTCTTCAGTGTCTGCAAGTGGTGTCCGTTTTGTCCATCGATTGTGTCCACCGATTGCGTCCGTAAAAAGTGAAACTTTTTGAATGTAAACAACATTTTGTACACAAAATACGTGTCGTTTTGAACGAAGCATTCAATAACGGAATCCAATGTCCGCTCAAATTGGACGCAAAGTATGGGAAAGTTTTTTTCGGTAAACTTTGCCATCAATTTAATAATTGCTATCTTAATGTCCAGTAAATGTTAATTTAGAGACTAATCCATTGGTGTTTGAAATGTTTTTTCAATTACTGACTGCACTTAAAGTGATGAAAAAATATTTATTTTATTTTTAGAAACTGTATGAAAACAAAATTAAAAGTATATTTGAATGACATCTTGATATAAAATTTGTAATAATCAATTAAATATCTCTTACTATATTTACTAGTTAGTTTAATAATTGCCTTATAAGTGATTAATTTAATCACTGATTAAATATTTAAAAATATTTGAATTCTTTTTAGCATTTATGAAAAGCTTAATATTTTAAATCATTGAAAACTTATTGTATTGTAACTTATTGTAAGTATTAACAAGGTAATGGCAAAAATTGTTTGAAAATTGGATTTGGTATGTGATATCCGCTTAAGATTTCAGTGCAAAAGGATTAAAATGTAGTGAAAAGTAGTTCACTTCCTATTCAATGAATTTAGAGATAAACTCTTTCATAGTTTTTAATGTCAAATAAATATACAGTAAATCCATTTATAAAGTAAGTTTACTTTATTTAAACATATGATTGTAATAAGTATTCAATAATAATTTCTATAACTAGTTATACTGTAGAAAACAAAATTATAAATAATATATTTTAAACATAGCAACTAATAATTAAAATATTGATAATTAATTTTATAAATAACTGCAATTATTTGCAAAGGCATTCATTTGTAACAGTTTTGTGTTTGCATTTTTAAAGTGCAATGAAAAGTAAAACAAGTTTTAGTTAAACATATTTCTTAAGTTTCATTTTGTGATGACTGATTGACCTAAAAAAATAAGCGTTTATTTCATATTTACTTTACTTTTTATTTATGGGGAATCACACAATACATTATATTTTACTCTAAATTAAAATACTTTTTAAAAATATTATGTAAGATATAATTATAATTTGCCGGATGTTTTATTCCCTACAATAAGATTTATCATACATTTAGCCCTCGAAGTCATTATCATGTTATGAGTGCTATGTTTAAAGACTTTAAATTCAATAAAGTTGTGATCAAAATATACTTATCGTTAGTGTCTATACTTTAAATTTTGTACTTTAAAACTAATTGCTATAGTGTTATACAAACTTATGTTAATTAGTAATTATGTCAAATTTATAAAAATTCGTAAAATTATTTTAATTACTTAAAAGCAATTTTTAGTATAAATCAACTAAATTATCAAAAGGCACTTAATTGACTCAGTTTCAGATATTTAATTATTTTCTAATAAACAATATTTCTATTTTAAATATTCTATTAAAACCATATTTTTATTATTAATTTCTAAAATGTTTACTAAAAACAAAATCACTATATTTTGTTTGTAGAAAATAATGACATCTGTAATAAATTCATGTAATTTAAAACTAAACTTATATTACGTATAAAAATAATTTTGAGAAAATGTTTGACACGTAAAACACTTATAATTAAATAAATAAATACAAATTAAAACAAAAGGTAAGGTTAAGGCAAAAATAAAACAAAAAAAAATCAAAAACAAGCGCTGAATACATGTCTCACTGGGAGTGAGACTTCTTGCGATACGACTGTCGATAGAAGTCGAAGAATAGGGCGAAGAATAGGGGATTCTGTCCGACGGCCACAATGAACCATCCCATGGGATAACCCGTTTGCAAGAAGTAGAGAATGAGACCATAGGTGCCACAGATGGCGAACTGAATGATCTGGACGAGGGTTAAGTACTTCTTCCACCACAAGTACTTCTGAACGGCGGGACCAAAGCTGGCCAACGCGTAATAGGTGTACATAATTACGTGGATCAGTGTATTGCAGACACCAAAGAGGCGCACAATGGGCGCCATTGGGTTCACTTTGAGACACAGCCAACAGAGCACCGGTACGACCGAGTGGTGGTAGAGGTGGAGGAATGTGATCTGACTGTCCTTCTTGCGGAGCACGAAGAACACGGTGTCCAAGAGATCCATGAATCGGGTCATCCAGAAGAGCCACTCGACCCACAGGAAGCGCATTGTCTGCTCTGAGCGGTCGCTTTGGTCGGGGTATTGGAAGTTCAAGAATATGCGCCCGAAGTCACAGTTCCCGATGGCCTCCACGAACAGGTAGGCGTTCGCCACAACCATCGCGCAGTTATACACAAACATCGACGTCCGGGTGTTGTAGGCCTCCCTGTGCTTCATGTGCGCCGGCAGTATAGTCCGTGTGATCAATAGGTAGGCACTCATTACGGACAGGATTTTCCAGATGCCGCCCGACACGAAGGGCAGGTCACGTGTGCGCGGATCACCGATTTGGTCCCAATAGTCCGTTAAGTAGAAGACTGGGAGCACTGGGAGTGAGACACAGACCACAGACACCATTGGTTTCATTGCATGCAACATATAATTACAATTAAAACTTACTTTTCATGCTTTGCTGTCCACGTGTTTGTGTTGTGAACGCGTCGACTGCCAGCACTCAAATGACTCGTATGACTGGTTAGCAGTCAGTGACTGCCAATCACTGCCTGTGTGTTGAACGCAGTGAACGCTACTGTAATGCCCACTAATGCTGACCCAATACCCAATCAACTATACAAACCCTATGTGAACGCCACGAGCATTGGGAACGGGGGCCACAAAATCAACGCTAAATAAGTCTAAACTTAATTGTTTCGCAATAGTTATCAATGTTATAAGACTTTACAATTTATTTTTGATAGTTTTTCGCAAACATATAAATAGTGATCAGAATATATACACAGAAACTATTGATTGAATGCCTAAACAAATGTCTCATACATTACTTGCTGTCGTACTTCTTCGGCAAACTCGCGACAAAGTTCTCGATCTCGTCGACGAGTGCCGGAGGAATGCCTTCCGCGCTCTTCGGCGGCGTTTTGACGCCACTGACGGCCGCATTGGCTGTACTCTTGGGCGCCGCTCTCTTACCGCCGATGAGGTGCTCGTAATCGGACGGCGCGACAGTCGGCGCGTCCGACGGCACCCTCTTTACGGCCTCTCTCTTCGGACTCTTCCGAGTGTTCTCTCGCTTTGGAGGCGTCTTCAGTGACTTCTGGGGCGTCTTCGACGGTGTGATCACAGCTGTCGGCGCGTCTGAGGCCACTCTCGGGACACCTTTGGGTGATTTGGTGCCCTTCGCCTCCTTCGAGTATATGTGCGCGTAATCTGACGGCGCGATCATAGCTGTCGGTGCGTCCGACGGCACTCGCTTCACATTTGCGCCCTTTTTGTATATCTTGGCGTAATCTTCCGGTGCGACCTGTTTCGGTGACTTCTTAGGTTTCTTGTCTTTTGCCATTATTTGGTCCCAGAATTCAATCGATATGTAATATAATTTGTGTTCAAATAAAGTTATTTGTTGTCTAATGGATGAAAGTCACTGTTTTTGTGTTTCTTTTTATCTTATGGTTAATTAGTTTTATGTTTTGTCACAAGTTATGAATTTATGCGAGAATTAGAAATTAGTTAAGAATTTATGATAAACTTGAGCTCAAATTGAATTTAAAATAGGTTTATTAGATCGTGAGGTCTATAAATATAGTAGATTCAATCTAGATTGCATTTTATATTGTTTAGTGCATTATACTCTAATTATAGACGATAAAGGTTATAATTATGATAATGTTGTTAGGCTAATTAATTTACAAATGTATCACTAATATAATTAAAGTATAATGTTTTCGGGGACAGTGTTGTCTCAATTTAGACATTTTCATTGCACATATTTTTCATCTCAGATAACAAAATGTGAGAAAATAGTGAAACAGTGTTTGATGTGTAAGAAGTTATTAGATATGACAGGAATTACAACTGAATTCAGCGTTGAGATCACCTGAGCGTGAATTGAATGCTCACTTTTTGGCGAAAAGAGATTTTCGTGACTTTTCTCTCCTTTACATTCACTAAAGACTTATGTCTTAACTTATGGTTGTTTTCACTCTTTCTTTCATTTCAATCATTTTTCTATAGCATAGAAAACCACAAAAACTTTTTTCTTATTTTTCTTTTTAATGATTCAGTGAATCGATAAAATCGTTTGTCTTATGTATAAATAGGTGTTATTTATAGCAGTGTATATAAATTGTTAGAAAAATCATTATTTATCTTTCCTGTCATTTAATATTCATTTACTATTAAAATATAAAAATATAATTTATATAAGATTGCATTTAATTTAATAAAATACTACCGGTTTTTAATATGATTTACGCTGACTTTGACACGAATCTATTGTGTATTTTAGTTTTTCATTAAATAGTCAATTAAAGTAAAAATTATTTATGTCTAATGTGTTTAGTTATAACATTTTTTTATTTTCAAGGGTTTTATGGAAAAATTCATTTATCGATTGATAAGATATTAATAAAATTACTAAAATTATAGTAACTTTTCATTTAAAAATTGGTAGGCATACCAGTAGTGAAATTATCACAAGAATTTATTCAATGAAACATTTATATTGATGTTTAAATGAATAAAAATAAATTTAAGGGAAATTTGAGTAAACATGTTATTTAGTGAGACTCAATGCCCTCCCAACTATTTATATGACTTACTGTATGCTCATCAACCCATTATACCATTTAGTAACTATCATAATAACTCATACAATGTGGTTATATTTATTACAAAAAAAATAAATTTACAATGAATGAACGGAATTTAAAATCAAAACCACCTATAAATAGATATTATTTTCAAAATGTAGATATAATGAAAATATAGTCAATGAAAGTTAATATCAGTTAATACAGTATAATATAATACATTGAGAGAAATAGAGAAAGTTTTATCTAAAAACAAAAATAGCACAACTTTTGTTGGCAAACTCATTATTTCTGTTGTGTTAGCCTTTTTTGGAGAAACATTTCATTTCCATTATTTGTCTTTAGTTTTTATATTTGTGTATCACTTACTGAGCGGCCAGTTATGTATCACTCGGAGGAGGAATTCATTTGTGGCTCTATTGTGGAGTGTATTAAGATATTGCGGTTATCGACACAAATATAAAAACTAAAGACAAATAATGGAAATGAAATGTTTCTCCAAAAAAGGCTAACACAACAGAAATAATGAGTTTGCCAACAAAAGTTGTGCTA